CAGAGTAGTAGTCGCAAGTTGTTGTTCACCTATTGTAGGTAGCTGAGATAGAGGAGGAGGCTCACAAGTCATTGCATTAGATTCTGAAACAATGACCTGCATAGCATCAATGTCCACTTCACTTCTTTCCTGCGAAGCAGTAGTCTCAGGTAGTGTAATCTCTCCCTCTCCTCCCTTCACTGCCAACTTGTGCCTTGACACATCAACTTCTTTACCAGAAAGATCATCCGCAGCCTTTTTACTTCTCTTTCTCTTCTTACGTTTTTCCTTCACATCAGAAGCTCCTTCTGGCAATACACTGCCTGCATCAATCTTACTCAACTCTTTTCCAGTTTCTGCTCTTTCAGCATCCATCTCCCGAGCTCCTTCCTCATCAAACTTATCTTCTCTAACAAGTTCATCACTAACCAACGGCACCATTGACACAACTTTGTCACCAGAATCATCACCGCCCACAAGTTGAGCTCCCCGAGCAACTTCAACAGGGTCATTGCTCTCCTTTTGAGAACCCAACAAATCCCTTTCCAACATAGCATCGTGACGCCCATCTAGAACAACATTAACACCTTCCTCCTCCGAACCATTGTCCATGATCATTAATTCTAAGTTGACCTCTTCATGCTCAATCTCCTTATCCTTGGGAACAATAGAAGCTTCAACACTAACAAACCAACCATTCTGAACCCCATGAAAGGCATTTGTCACAAGCATTGACTCTGACAAGTAATAGAAATTCCCTCTCCTTTGGACCTGCCCAATCCCATACCCACAAACGACATAGGTCATTCCAGAGGCAACCCGTCAGAGAATAAGCGGCAAATAGTATAGAGAAAAAGAAAAACTATACCTTCAATCCATCGACTTTTATTTCTCCAACCTGGGGGAAACACAGCGGATGCTCGTCCGTGATTGTTCCTGCAATTAACGCAGATGCATAATCACAAAAACAGTTATGCCAACAGAGTTCGTATCTTTTGGAATGGACATTGGGGGGGTTATATGGAAAAAGGACGAGCGAAGGAACAGGGTATTACTCTTGAGATCAGCAACGGTGTCGGAGGAAGCGACCATCACGGCCAAGTGAGTATCGAGGTTGGTGTCGATGAAGACGGCATTGAGGGGAGCTGGGGCGCCGCCATGAACGGCGGCCGGAATCGGGGGTTCAGCCATCGCCGATTAACTGATCAAGAACAGAAATAAAACGACGCAAAGGGGGGAAAGAAACCGGCCTCGGCAGCGACGGCGAGTAGGGTTTAGTCAGTGTTGCATGTAAGGAGGATTCGTTTGCTTTCGAAGAATCGTTTGGCTCGTGAAGAATGACGGCAGAAAAAGAGAGTATAAAAACCTTCGCATGAATCCAAGATAGGGTTGATACCGCCGCTTAATGGGCAACGCCAACGAGTGATGTGCCTGGGCCCAAAATTTTCACGGACAGCCCAACTCTTCTGCAAGGCCTGCTTCGGGCCCAGTTTGTGTGATTAGACCATGAATTTGACTCTTCGGATGTTTAAAGCAAGATGTTATATAATTGGCCAATACTATGGTGCCGAGATTGAAAGAGCGGCATCGGTGTTGCTGCTTTTAATTGGTGCACGTGGCAGGATAGTTTTACGTGGCAATAGTAGTTGATTCCCATCGCAGAACCCATCGTACAAACCGGGTCGTCCCTTGAGCCAAGGAATTTTCGTGTTTCCTTTTCTTATCCTCCTTCGATTAGTTTTTATTTTTTTCCCATTAAATTATTTATCTTTTGTCCCTGAACAAAATTTCTTTGTAAGTCTTATTTGTTGGGTTGATCTGAACACAAAGCAGCTGGAACTAGAAGTGAAGCTGGGAATCCTTCTCAATAGACGGATTGGAAGTGGAGCCAAACCAATAGTCTCTGAGTCAGTGGCGGAGCCAGGATTTGAAATTACCCCTGTCCTCTTTTCATAATATAAATATATAAATATTTAATTAATAATTATTTAATAAATAAAATTAAAACTGATTATATCTAAATAATTCATTCACATATAAAAAATAATCGACTAATAAAATCACTGTTTTCATAAGCAACCACGACGGAATTTCATATTGTGTAAAAAAAACACAAAACATTTGTTGTCTACAATGTTAAGTAAGTCTCTTTTAATGTATCGCACTAAACAATCATTAGCAAATTGGTCGCCAATTCGACTTCAAAACTTGTTCTTAATGTAACTCAAAACTGAAAATGTTCTTTCTGCACTTGTAGTTGCAAATTGGTAGAATCAAAACTAGTGGAATTGTCGTTGTTGCTGAAAAATTTCAAGATTGTTGGAGAAAAACGAATAGACATAAGGATAAAAAAGATTTTATTAGGTCTTTATTGCAATTAAAAGTTCATTTATAGTATAATAAATTAATTTTATATCAATTTATGAACCACTAATAAGTTGTGTTGTACTGATAAAATACTATAATACCACCTTTAATTGTTTGTTCCACCATCAATATAAATATATATGGGTATTTTTTCCACTCCGAAATTTGCCCCTGTCCCGTGACAAGGGCTAATGCCCCTGCCTCCGCCTATGCTCTGAGTCAGTGGTTTGTGTCAGTTAGGCCCTGAAGGTTAGTTAAGTTCTGTTGAGAGTTTTCAGGGTAGTTGAGTGTTGGTGCTGATTTACATGACCTGTAGAGTCGTAGATTGAGTAGTGGAGGCCATGGTTTATGGCCAAAGCAAGTCTTTATATTGTAAATGTTCTGTATTCTAATAGGATTTGTCAGATTGCAATATTTTGAGCTTTCATAGTGGTATCAGAGCTGGTTTGGCCAAGTGGTCGTGTGTTCGAATCTCCACGACCCCCAATATTATCAGTTGATTAAAGCACATGGTATGATGGTCATGTGCAAACTTCAAGCCCATGGGTTGGCTTTCGTTTGAGGGGTCGTGTTAGAGAGTGGTATAAGATCCAGCATATTTTCCTTCTTCCTAAGCTGCAAGGGACTGTTGGAGTATGTGGCACCTGTCAAATTGGGAAACAGCCCAAAAAGCCATTTCCTAAGAAAAGCCAGTGGAGAGCAACTCAAAGGGTTCAGCTAGTACATGCTGACTTATGTGGACCAATTACCACAGCATCAAATGGAGGCAAGAGGTACATTTTTACTCTTATTGATGATTTCAATAGGAAAATGTGGGTTCACTTCATGACTGCAAAATCAGAAACTCTTGATTGCTTTAAGAAATTTAAAGCAAGAGTTGAGAAGGATATTGATCTGGAAATTAAGTGTCTCATAACTGATCGCGGGGTTGAGTTTATGTTAAGTGAACTCAAGGATCTGTGTGATGAAATTGGACTGAGAAGGCAACTCATCGCTGCTTTTACACCCCAACATAATGGGGTTCCTGAAAGAAGGAATAGGACAGTTATGAATATGGTCAGGTGCATGATGGAAGACATGAAGGTTCCTTCTGCGTTTTGGCCTGAGGCTGTTTATTGGATTGTTCATGTACTTAACAGAAGTCCAACCACAGCAAATCTGGGAAGAACACCTCAGGAACTTTGGACGGATGACAAACCCTCAGTATCTCATTTCAAAGTGTTTGGGTGTGTTGCTTATGTGCATATACCTGACCAGCAACGAAAGAAACTGGATGACAAAAATGAGAAATGTCAGTTTCTAGGCATCTCAGTGGAGTCCAAGGATTATAAGCTTTACAATCCTGTCACTAGAAAGATGGTTGTCAGCAGGGATGTGGTGTTTGATGAATCTAAGGGTTGGAGCTGGGATTCTGCAGCACAACCAGGGCTGACACAACTGACTTGGGCAGGAAGAGATGAAGAATGGTGGGATTCTGACTTTGAAGGTGGCTTTGAGAATCCAGCAAACTCAGTTCCTGAGGCAAATGCAGGACAACCTCCAAGTCCGAGAACTCCTGCAGGTTCTGGACCTTCCCAAGAACATGAAGAATATGATGAAGAGCCACAAACAGATGTACTGGGGCTTCCTTGTGCTGGTCTAGGCAGAAGGGTTAGTAAACCACCAATACATCTGCAAGATTATGACTACAGTTCTATCTCAACAGATTGGATGATCATGGTAGCTGTCTTTGATGACCCACAATCATTCGGAGAAGCCTGCTTGGACCCTCGGTGGAATGAGGCTATGCAAGTTGAAATGGACTCAATAAAGAAGAACCAGACTTGGAATCTTACTGATCTTCCTGAAGGGTGTGAAGCTATTGGGTTAAAGTGGGTTTACAAAACCAAACTTAAGGAAGATGGAGAATTGGACAAGAAGAAAGCAAGGGTGGTAGTCAAAGGGTATGCACAGAAGCTAGGAATTAACTACAATGAAGTTTTCGCACCTGTGGCTCAATGGGACACTATCAGAACTATGTTAGCTCTTGCTGCAAACTATGGTATCACAGTATATAAGAAGGATGTCAAGAGCGCATTCTTTCATGGGGAGTTTCTGAAGAGATATATGTAGAGCAACCACAAGGATTTGTGGTTGCTGGGGAGGAAAAGAAGGTTTATAGGCTTCATAAAACTCTGTATGGGCTCAAGCAAGCCCCAAGGGCTTGGTACCGTAGGATTGAAACCTACTTCCTTGCTGTTGGGTTTGAAAAATGTCAGTATGAACCTACCTTGTTCATAAAGAGAAGCAATACAGGTATCCTTATTGCCAGCTTGTATGTCGACGACTTGATGTATGCCAGCAACAATGAAGTACTACTAGCAAAGTTTAAGCAGTCTATGCAAGCAGAATTTGAGATGAGCGACTTGGGAAAAATGAGGTACTTCCTGGGGGTTGAAGTGGTTCAAAGTGCTGTTGGAATTTTCATCTACCAGCCAAAGTACATAAGGGAAGTTCTGGAAAAATTCAAGTTGTCACAATGCAACTTTGTTCACAGTCCAATCACACCTGGAGTCAAGATGGCAAAAGTTGGAGATGGAATTCTTGTGGATCCCACAGAATACAAAAGGCTGATTGGGAGCCTTCTATATGCAACTGCAACACGACCTGATATCATGTTTTCGGTTTGCTTGCTTAGCAGGTACATGGATTCACCAACGAGACAACATCTATTAGCAGCAAAAAGGGTACTGAGGTACCTCAAGGGAAAAATAAAGCATGGAATCTGGTACAAAAGAAATCACGGAGAGGAAGTGAAGCTGCTTGGATACACTAATAGCGACTATGCTGGTGACTCTAATGACAGGAAAAACACATCTGGTTGTGCGTTCTTCCTTGCTGGAGCAGCCATCTCGTGGGCCTCGAAGAAGCAACCAGTAGTCACTCTCTCTACTACTGAGGCTGAATTCGTTGCAGCAGCCTACAGTGCATCACAATGCATCTGGCTTTAGAGGATTCTGGAAGAAATGGGATGGAGCAGTAGTGTGGCAGCTGGAACTAAGGGGTCGTTTGGAGAATAGGATTCAGGACGTGGATTCACTGAATCCGTAGATTTTGTAGAAAGTTATGGTTTTTTTGTTGCTTTTTGTACTGTGGATTCTAGCTTTAGAGATTTCAAATCTCTTAAATCTGCGGATATCAAATCTCTCATAATCAGAGAGATTCTATATCTTGATTCGTGAGATTTTTTTTGTCCTAGTTTTTCTCTTACTTTTATTTATTTATCACATGAAATATATTTATCAACATAAATTTTAATATTTATTGAACCACTCTAATTATTTTATTAAGGATAAAATTTTTATTTAACATAAAATTAAATTTTTTATTTTAATTGAATGTTAACAATCACAGTTACCAAACAATAAACATTTTAAAATCTGTTTTCAACAATCTGGGAAGTTAGAATCGTTAGATTGTTGCCAATCTGTAGATTTAAACTCATATCCTCCAAACGACCCCTAAGATACTGTGCGACAACAGTTCTGCAATCAAATTGACCAAGAATCCGATGATCAAAGCAGTCAAAATCGGGATTTTGATCGTAAAATCGTAGGATTTTAGGATTTTACGTAGTGATTCCGATCTTGATTCTACTATAAAATCGGTGGACCTTAAAATCGTTTAAAATTGGGATTAAAATCATTAAAATCATAAAATCCTACCAAAATCGGGATTAAAATCGTATGAGAACAAAATAGGCTGTTTGAGCAAATTTTAAAAAAGCGGAACTGATTTGGCAGAAAGGACAATGATGAGGATTTCTCAAAATATTTGAAAAGAAAAAAAAGAACCAAATTATGGTTCGGTCATTCTCTTTCCCTTCATCCCGTTGAACTCAAAGGTAAAATAGCTTTCCTAATATTGTACGTGTGGAAGAATTAATATCATTATTAACTCATTAATTGATTAATGAATACATTTTTGTCAAGCCACTAGCATTAATTATTCAATTGGAGTTCATATATTATTAGTTTTAAATCATGATTAACAGACAATGTTGAAATTAACCTGACCGGAGTACTACTTTGAGTTAAACTACCTAAACACAACATGAAAAATAAGAGCCAAGCTCCGTGAGCTCTATCATTTCCTCGTGAATTATTTTAGTTACGCATTAAATAACAATTAAAATGATGATCTTGGAACATTAATCTTGAGAATTATCATTTTCAATGTTATGTGCCTTTGTGTTGGTAATGGGTTACCTTATTAATATGATTATATGTTAGTTTCTATATGGAACTTAAAATCCTACGATTTTACGATTCCGATTTTACCCCAGTTTTCGATTTTAGGTAAAATTCTTATTTTGACTGCTTTGCCGATGATGCATGGACGGAACAAACACATCGATGTTCGCTTCCAGTTTTTACGAAATCTGGTGAAGGAGGGAGTTATTGATTTGGATTTCTGCAGGACTGGTGAGCAGGTGGCAGATGTGATGACAAAACCTTTGAAGTTGGAGTCATTTCAGCTGCTGCGAAGTCAGCTTGGAGTGATCGATGCTGAGGATGTTGGAACTGAAGAAGTGAACTGAATGCCTGGGACTCGGTTCAGTTCAGGAGAGGACTTGTCGGGTTGATCTGAACACAAAGCAGTTGGAACTGGAAGTGAAGATGGGAATCCTTCTCAATAGACACGGATTGGAAGTGGAGCCAAACCAGGAGAGTTTAAATTTGAGTCTTGAGTCAATAAACAAAACAATGTCGTTTGGATGTTTTATTGTTTAGTCTCTGAGTCAGTGGTTTGTGTCAGTTAGGCCCTGAAGGTTAGTTAAGTTCTGTTGAGAGTTTTCAGGGTAGTTGAGTTGTTGGTGCTGATTTACAGGACCTGTAGAGTCGTAGATTGAGTAGTGGAGGTCGTGGTTTATGGTCAAAGCAAGTCTTTATATTGTAAATGTTCTGCATTCTAATAAGATTTGTCAGATTGCACTATTTTGAGCTTTCGTAGTGGTATCAGAGCTGGTTTGGCCAAGTGGTCGTGTGTTCGAATCTCCACGACCCCCAATATTAACAGTTGATTAAAGCACATGGTATGATGGGCCTGTGCAAACTTCAAGCCCATGGGTTGGCTTTCGTTTGAGTGGCGTGTTAGAAACTGGACTAAGATCCAACATAATTTTCTCCCAATAACTCGAGTTATTGGGACCAACATGTTTTATGACATTATTGTTTTTGTCCTAGAGAAAATAAGATAGAACTTTAAACAAATCTTGTCACTTCCTCCTTCCCTCTCCGTCGAACTGTCAAATCAACAAAAGGTTCCGGCGAAGTTCTCAGTCGCCGACCCATCTCCTTTACAGTCTCTACCGCTCCGCATCCATCAAACTGCTTCGCCGCCACCAGATTCACACGACCCTCTGCATTGTTCCCCTCGCTCTGTCCCTCCCTCTTGTAAGTGTCGAAATCCGAATCCGAAGTTGGTTGATTGGAGGTGAATAGCGACATATCCCAACGGATTCAAAATACTTTCAGGCCATTGCTTTCTCCTGTCGTTCCTCTGTCTATCCGCTCTCCGCTCCGTTTGATGTCTATTTATAGGGAAGGAGAAGGCTAGCAATTCGGTCTTCTTATGGTGAAAAAACCATTTACAATTGCAGAGCTAGATGCCGCTAGCATGAAAGCTGACGGAACTATTCTAAAAATGAAGCTAGCACATGGTTTCAGAGATGACAGCATGTATTGGAAGAATTGAAGGAGATGGAAAGAATTGGATGGGTTGCCCTGCTCAATGGCAGGTTGCTAGATGATTGACAAAGGATGGGATAGTATTTGATTATATAGCTAGTTTGGTTCACTTGAGTGGGATTGGTGAATGAAGGGCCCTTTCCATGGATTTATGGATGAGCTTGTGCACTATGAGAGCTGAAAATTGTAGTTTACCTTTATTGGCTTAGTCTTAGTTATTCCATATTCAATTTCTGAAAGTTTCACTGAGTAATTTCCTCCCACTTTTCTACTTTGATTTATGTGTTGCAGGTACTTCAAAGGCAAGCGTATATGTTGTATGTTTGAGTGATATCTTCGTGAACTTTTCCAGTTTCTATCTTTGAATAAATCTGAAGAGCTTTGCTTTCACAAGGTTCAACTGTTTACATAAATGAAAAACTGGGCATCATTGTTCCTTTCTTTCTGTGATTGTGGCAGCTGCTGCTGGTTGTGCCCTTGTTCTCTGACTTTCTAGTGCACTGACCACAACAAGCAATTGAGTGGCTCCTAACCGAGCTAGCTACCAGTTGCTTAAGTAAATTAAATGATGTTGCCCAAGCTCTTCTACTCCCCAATTAGATAAAGCAAACAAAGAAAACCACAAAACAGAAATTACAACTAAATACCAATTCAAACAAGGCATTTGACGTTGAATAGCAGCAAACGTTAATGTGTTCTAGTTCATAAGAAGCTTGCCATGTACAATTAATGACTTCACAACAAGATTACTAACTACAAACTAGTAACTACAACAATTACACGCAATAGAGAAGGGCCAATACTAGACAGGCCAATAGTGTTTCATTTGAACATGGTGCGTCTAGTTCTGGACCAGTTATGATCAGTCCTAGTGATTGGCAGAACTTTCAGCAACAATATAAGAAGATGCTGAGTTTTATGCAACCTTATTTTGGTCAGCAAAAACCACAACAAAGTACTGGTGGTGCTCAACAATCCTTCTATGGATCACAGCCATCTCCCCAGAACTTTAAGTCTCAGCCTGCTGCCTTTTCAGAAGCTTACAAAGCAAATAATCCTCCTCATTTTTCCAACTCCAATGAGTCTGATGGATCTGAACATCATCAGATGGTAAGCAGGGCAAATTCAGTTGCATCTCACATCTTTGAGTCTACTGATAATACAGGTATTCACTACCTTGCCTTAGCTTCTAATTTTTCTCTTAAGAATCAATGGATCCTTGACACTGGAGCAACAGATCATATAATATGTTCTTTAGATTCATTTTCTGTTTATAAACCTGTTACAAACACGTTTGTTCACATGCCAAATGGGAATAAAGTTGTTGTCACAGCCGTTGGCACTGTTGTTTATTCTGAGAAATTAACACTTCATAATGTGCTGTTTGTTCCTACATTCAGTTTTAATCTAGTCTCAGTAAGCCAGTTAGTTAAAAACTTCAGCCATTTCCTTATGGTTCTCTACTTCATTCTGTGTCATTCAGGAATTCCCCAGTTTGACAATGATTGGAACAACTAGTCTCATTAATGGACTGTACATCCTTCATTCTCCTATTCAATCCAGCCAACTTCAGAACTCTCTACTTCTCAAAACACCATATTAACATCCTATGGTGACTTTTTCTACTACTCAGCAGAAGATAGATATCTGACACTATAGACTAGGGCATTTACCTTTGAATAAAACCAAGCAACTACATATTGTAGATTGCAATGTATCCAATACTTCACATTTTCATTGTACTGAATGTCCTAAGGCAAAACAAAAACGTCTCCCTTTCAGTTTTAGCACTAGTCAAACTGCTGCCAATTTTGAGCTACTCCATATTGACATTTGGGGCAATGCTCCTACTATATCTGTACATGGTCACTCCTACTTTCTCACTATAGTGGATGACTATTCTCATTTCACTTGGATATTTCTGTTAAAACACAAATCAGAAGCTAGACATGTCATTACATCCTTCTTTCACTTTGTGTCTACACAGTTCCAATCCAAAATTAAGGTTGTCAGAACTGATAACGGATTAGAGTTCCAAATGACTGAATTCTTTAATTCTCAAGGAACTATAACCAAAAAACATGTGTGTATACCTCTCAACAAAATGGAATAGTTGAGAGGAAACATCAACACATTATGACTGTCACGAGGGAACTCTTGTTTCAAGCATCTTTACCTGCAAAATTCTGGAATTTTATAGCTTTACATGTTGTTCATCTCATCAACAGAACACCATCTACTTTACTCCAAACCTCTACTCCTTTTGAAAAACTTTATGGTAAACCAGCAACTTACTCACATTTAAGAGTATTTGGCTGTCTAGCATATGCTTCCACCATTTAAGCCACTCGTACCAAGTTAGATCCTAGAGCACAACCTTGTGTTTATCTAGGTAACCCTCCTCACACAAAAGGATATATACTTTATAACCTAGAAAATCATAATAAATTAATTTCTAGGGATGTCTCATTTCATGAGAACATTTTTCCATATCATCAGCACACTCAGTCTTCTGCAACTACTGCAGTGCTGCCAGTTTTTCCAGATTCTTTGTTTGATCTGGATTTCTCTAAAGAACAACCAGTATCTCATACATCTTCTAACACACCTCCTACACAGTTCTTACTAAGTTCTTCAGAATCGACCAACACACTGTTGCCTGTTCCAGTTTTAAGGAGATCTTCTAGACAAATTGTCAAACCTGCTCACCTTAAAGATTACAAATGTAATCTCCTCAGTACTACTGATGTATCAGATTCTTCAGTAGCGTACCTCTACAAGAAATTCTTACTTACAGATCTCTTAGCTCAAAACATAAAGAGTTTTGCCTTATCCATCACTAAGATCAAAGAACCTAAATCCTATAAAGAGGCTGCTAAAGATGAAAAATGGTTGCAAGCCTGTAATTCTGAGCTTGCTTCCTTAGACAAAACAAAAACATGGGAACTAGTTTACCCTCCACCTAATAAACCAATTATAGGTTGTAAGTGGGTGTTTAGGGTGAAATTTAAGCCTACTGGAGACATAGAAAATTTCAGATCCAGATTAGTAGCCAAAGGCTATACACAAACACCAGCTGTTGACTACTTTGATAATTTCTCTCCCGTGGTAAAAATTACTACAATCAGAATACTGTTAGCACTGGCTTCTATCAATAATTGGTTCCTCAAACAGCTTGATGTAAATACAACATTCCTTCATGGAGACCTCAATGAGGAAGTCTACATGCAATTACCTCCTGGTTTACATGTCAGTGAAGCTGATAAAAACAAAGTCTGTAAACTTATTAAATCACTTTATGGTCTAAAGCAAGCAAGTCGACAGTGGTTTGCGAAATGAGCAACCACATTAGAACAACTTGGTTATAATAAGTCACACAGTGACTACTCTCTCTTTACTAAACAAACAGATAAATCATTCACTGCTTTGTTGATTTATGTTGATGATATAATCTTAACAGGCAATGATTTTCCAGAAATCAACACGGTTAAACAAACACTAGACACTGCCTTTACAATCAAAGATCTAGGTCCACTTAAATACTTTCTAGGAATGGAAGTGGCCAGATCTGATACAGGCATTCACTTGTGCCAAAGAAAGTACACTCTGGATTTACTTTCCGATACAGGTTTCCTAGCATATAAACCTGCTACTACTCCATCAATTCGAGCTACACACCTTTCTCACTCAGAAGGTTCCCCACGGGATGCTGCTGCACATAGCAACTACAAAACACTTATTGGAAGGTTTCAATACCTCTGCAACACAAGACCAGATATATGCTATACAGTAAATCAACTGAGTTATTTCGTAGATGCTCCAACAACTTCCCATGAGCAGGCTACACATAGACTCCTTCGCTACCTTAAAACCACTCCTGCTCGTGGCTTATTTTTTCCTAACAATTCTTCCATTCGACTTACAGCTTTTTCAGATTCTGACTGGGCTGGTTGCCCTGATACTCGACGATCAGTGACTGGTTTTTGTGTTTTCTTAGGTAACTCACTTATCAGCTGGCGTTCCAAGAAACAAAAAACTGTCTCCAGATCATCAGCAGAAGCGGAATATCGAGCCTTGGCAGACACATCGCAGTAGCTTCAATGGATGACTGCTCTCTTCAAACAACTGCCAATCCAACCTCCACAGCCCTACACGATCTACTACGACAGTCTCTCTGCTGTAAAAATGACAGAAAACCCAGTCCAACACGAGAGAACAAAGCACATAGAGGCTGACTGTCATTTCACAAGAGATCAAGTATTAGCCAACAAGTTGAAAGTGCAGCACATCTCCACCACCCTCCAACGTGCAGATCCATTCACTAAAGCCTTACCTGTTCATACTTTTGTAGACTTAATCTCCAAGCTTAACATGAAATCTATCCATGTTTAGCTTGCGGGGGAGTATTAGGACAATAGGATTAGATTATATGTATTAGGTTAGACTAGGTATCAAATTGTAATTAGTTTCTCTCTCCTATCTGTAATTACCTCAGTATAAAAGTCAAATAGACTTGACTGAGAGACTCACTCTGTTCATTCGTTCATTCTGGAAATAACAAGATTTCTTCTTCAGTAAGAAAATTAGCATATTTTCTCTACCAGTTCACAGAGAACATCGTTTAATCTCATCATAGTGCAGATGAGCCCTTCATCTGCAACAAAAGTATGAATCTTGTTCTTCATTTCTATCAAGCAGGGTTTTCCCTTATCCCATATTCCTCATAGAGTCATGGTCATTCTCATCTTTGCAGCTTGCTTCCATATGCCATCATTTATATATATATTGGACACAAGAAGGTGAGCGTTGATGTTCTCTGGAACAAACTTGGAAAGTTTGTTTGCGACCTTCTCAGCGAAGTCGACATTCTTATGGACTCTACAAGCTGAGAGTAGCAGGGACCAAATAGTATCGATAGGTAGGTGTAGTCATGGTACTGATGAGCGTGAGGGAGAATTCAAGATGGTAGGAATTTAGTGGAGGTTAATTGGAGAGGATGTATAGGAGATTGGAAGTTGGAACAACGACAGAGAAGTTCCCCGTTTTGTTGCATGTTTTGACAGTCCGATGGGGAGGGTGTATGAGGAAGACGACCGAATTATTTCTGGGGTTTCGTTTGTGTGGCAAAAATAGAATAGCTAATTAATTGAAAGAAATGGAAAGGAAAGGAATTAAGAAAAAGAAAAAGTGCTTGCAGCCAAGATGCAGCCAAGAAATAGAAAAGGAATGGAGAAAAAAAGATTTTCGTATTCATTGGTTGGTTCGGTTGATGTGCTACGGATTTCGGGATGAGAATTAACCACTATTGCCACGTGCACCAATTAAAAGCAGCGGCATCGATGTCACACTTTTAATCGCGGCACCGTAGTATTGGCATGTTTAATTAGATCACGAATTACAAATTTTATGGATCTTTTCTGTTTGTTGGTACTTTGGTACATTAGTTGCGGATCTATTTGGAGTGTGGGCTTACAATAGGTGCATAGGTTACGAACACGGCAATGAGGTTGAATATGATCGGGTTCTTGATAGTAGTGGCAACGAACATCACCTGTAGGAGAGGCAAACTGAGGACGAGATGCAGGAGCAGAGGACCCCGAGCTAGGTCACGCACCAGCGCTAGGAGGTGGATAAGAAGACCCGCGGCGGGCAGGCGAAGCAGCAAAGGCTGCGTTAGCATCATGAAAGTGACTATCAACCTGAGCCTGAATAGCGAGACGACACTCTTCCCGTTGTAACTCTGGAAGTGCAGCTTCAAGAGTAGCAATGTTCCGAGTGAGTAGAGTAGCACGAATTGGCTCAAACTTGGGGCGTAGCTTAGACAAGAATTGCATCATACGCTACCGTTTTTGTACGGCTTTGACCTCGACTGACAACCGCTGAGTAAGAGAAGAGGCAGTCATCAAGTCAGCCTCGATCCACAAATTAGTTGTTGTACGATAGTAGACAGCAATAGATTGTCTCCTTGAGCAAGTAAGGAGAGCTGAAATTCACTTCAAACTGTCAAGAAGGATGAACCTGGGCATAGGAGTCGCGCAGGTGAGCCCAAATTTCAGCCGCAGTAGCAAACGATCGAAGAGTAAGAGCAACAACAGGATCCACTAATCGAAGAATCCAATTCTTGAGCCTAGCATTGTTGCTACGCCAAGTAGCAATACTTTCCAAAGTAGCATCAGGCTGAGTAGGGCACGCAGTCTCGCCCGTGAGAATATCGAGCAAGCTCTTACCCTCAGCGAAGGTGCTGAACTGAGGTGCCCAGAGAGAATAATTGGAGTCGTTCAATTTCACACCCACGACATCGCTGCGGTCGAGATCCATGATGAACGCATGTAAAGGAAACACATGCTACATCAGCTAACAATAAGATCCAAGGGAGAAAGTAGAATACCTGATGCACAACCACACAAATATAGGAAGAAGGAGGAGTCCTAAATAGACGCGGAAATAAACCGCAAGACGGAGACCAAAAGAACAAATGCCACACGAAGAAGAGGCGATGCCAGGAAGTAGGGCACAAGAAATAAACTAGCTTCGCAAGAAGCCACGGACAGAGAACAAGTCAGGAGCAAAGAATTTCCAAACACAGATTACGACGACTCTGATGCCATGTCAATCAAACCACATAAATCATGTAGAAGAGACAGTGCACATAGGATTTACGTGGTTTCTCTGTTCGTGATGAACATGACTAGTCCACGGAGAGCGACCGGCTCTCAGTCAATAATATTATCACCGAAAAATCCTTACCCCTAGGATGGCCGAACATACATATATATAGGGTTCTATTCGGCCAACCCTAGCTCTATAATACATATTTACATATATAACCCTAGTCACATACATTAACAGCTACCAATCGGCAAAATTGTTTAGATATGACTTGTAATTTAAGAGCACTCTCTGAATTTATCTCTTATCCGATTATATAAAAAGCAATAAAAAAATTATTTTTTGTTGAATTTATAAATTCTATAAATTTATGCTCCGAAAAATCTGTGAGTACTCAGACAATTGAGTAGGACAATCCTAATGGTATGAAATTTATTTGAATGTCCATCAACACTAACGTATAGAACCCAAACAGAATACCTACGAATATTGGAATAAGTGCTACCCGTCATGTTAGAATTGTTTTATGCTATTGTTATAATATTAGAATTTCTACTGGCTAAAACTGAAATCGAAAAAATCTCAATTTACTAGTATCTTAATACCTAACTCTAAAATTTCACTTCTCCTCGTCTCTTACATTGAGAGGTTCATTAAAAAAAAAGAATTGGTGGATTATTTCATATGACGATGATGACAAAAGTGACCTTTGTAATGTGCATCATTGTATTTGCTTTTAAAACTAGTATTAATCTTATTAGTTGTAATTGTTAGAGTTTAAAAAATCGTTATCAAAGAAAATTGTTTACTAATAGAGATAACCAATGCAATTCGGATTCATTTTGAAATATAATGAAAATCCAGCTTGTAGTAGTCTATGACCAAAAGTTTTATATTTCGTTTTTAATTAATTGGTTAATTATATCTTGGAAAAAGTTGAATCTGCGAACTTTTTGAAATAAATTCATCATTTGGCCATGTGTGGAACAATGCTTTTCCATGGCGCATTTCAAGTAACCAAAAACGTGTTTGGGATTTACTTTACTTCATTACTTGCATCATGCAAATTAACAAAGCCAAATGGTGTGACTAATCATAGAGAGAAAAGCAAAACATAATTGTGAGCACATGTTCTTCATTGATATATCAATGTTATTATTAATTTACTCTATATAGTACATTCAAGTCATTTAAATCTTTGCAATTTATTAATACTTTGATTGTGAAAGTTACGAGTCAATAAATCGATCTCTTGAGTGGTTGTTACGATGAAAACCTTCTCATTCGCCGTTCATTCAATTCGTCTCTTTCTCTTTCTCTCTCTCTCTCTTGTTGATAACCACTAGGCGGTTTGTCCTTAATTATCATGGTGACAACCACTAGGTGGTTTGCCCCAAACTCATCTCCCCTATTTAAGAACATTTATAATTAACTTAAAAGTTAAAACTAATTCTTTTATTTTTAAAACCCAAACATCCCTACGCACACACCGCTTGAGCAATGGTGGAGCGAGACCAAATCTGGGGGTTCACCTGCTTAAACCATTTGAGCCTTCCACTAAAATCCCCTTTAGGTGCCTTCGGAAATACCACCACTGACCTCGAGATGAGTCTAACGGGCATTGGCGGACCCAGAAATTTTCCATAGGGGTGTCCTTTTTTAAAAAATAAATTAAATAAAAACAATTAATAAAAATAAAATCATAATTATGAAAATACCTTACTCGTACATGTTAAAAAAGTCCATGATGTGTTTTCATATTCGGAAATAATTATAGAATACACTTGGTGTCTATAGTGTTAAACAAATTTGTCTCTATATACCTTACTAGACAATCATTCACGAACTTATCGCATATTCAATTTGTAAACTTGTTTTTGATGTAACCTAAAGCTGAAAGACTCTTTCAACACTTGTCGTACAATCATAAAATCAATACAAATTAAGGGTAGGTTGAAATTAGTTTAATTGTTAGGTTTTTAAAATAATTAGAGATAGGGAATGACTTTTTACTATTACACATTGTTCAAAATCGAACAACAAATGGTTGTAGCTCAACGGAAATTAAGTTTAATAATAATAATAATAATAATAATAGTGTTCTAGATTTGAATTACCCAATCTACCAATTATATTTCTATACACAAATGATAGTAGGATAATCATTTTTTCAAATTTCAGGGGTGTCCCTCAGTATCAATTATATTTTTTTTTGTCTATACGTAAATTACCATAGGGGGTTGGATAATCATTTTCCTAAATTTAGGGGTGTCCCGGGACACCCCTAAAATCCCCTGGGCCCGCCCCTGCTCACGGGATCTCACACTTTTCGATCGAGAGTCTCTCGAGAATTTTACGAGCTGAGCTATGTGACCTCTAATATGTCATAAACCAATTGCTCCCAATAACTCGACTTGTTGGGGGAAGGTTATGCTGGAAAACCACTTTCTTACACGCCCCTCAAACAAAAGCCAACCCATAGGCTTGAATTTTGCCCAGGCGAACACCATATCCTGTGCTTTTTAATCAACTGTTAATATTGGAGGTCATGGAGATTCGAACACACGATCATTTGGTCAAACCAACTCAGATACCATATCATAAACCAAGTGTTTCTAATAACTCGAGTTCTTAAGAGAAAATTATGCTGAATCTTATTCCACCCTCTTACTCCGAATGCATTTTCGCACAATCTGTCGCAAGTTTAAGCAAAAAGAAACTTGTGATTCGATTCACCGTCACGCTTTTGTTAGTTAGTTGTAACAACAAAACAGCAAGCCAACGAGGACCTGCCCGCTTTTAATTAAGGTTGTCCCAAAACCGTGATAGTGTCTCTTTCCCCTCCCATGATTCTGGAGACACGCAACATGCACTCATGGGACAAAGATGAAACTTGAAACTGTTGCTAACGTTAAATCAAATTCATTCCCAAATTGAGAAAGATAAAACCTTCCTCCAACTCCCAACAACTTCCCATCCCAACTAGTACACGTTAATGGACAGCAATAGAGACACGAAAACACCCTCCATCTAATATCAACCAACCACCAGCAAGGAAAATGATGCAGAGAAGAAGAAGAAGAAAAAGAATTTTCCTATTACACAACTCTGTGTTCTCTTAGGCAAAGATGGCTTCTTTACTCGTCTTTCTTCATGGCGTCTTTCTTCTGTCCTCTCTTGCGGATCGCCATGCAGAATTTCAGCCTCCATGCATCAACGGCTGATTCCGGGATGGCGCTTATCAGAGCCCAGAGAAGG